CTCTTGCCTCCCTGGTTTCTGATGAAAAATCTGCTGTCATTCAAATCCTGTTTTCCTTAGAGGTGAGATGTCATTTCTTTCCTGTTGCTTTCAAGTTTTTTTCTTTGTCTTTAGTTTTCAGACATGTGACTGTGATGGGTATTGCTGTGGATTTCTTTGGGTTTGTCTGATTTGGGATTTCCTCCACTTCTTGAATCTGGAGGTTTTTGTCCAGTTTAGGAAGTCTGACCAGTTATTTCTTTGAATACTTTTTCTCCCCCTTCCTCTTTCCCTTCTCCTTGCCCGACTCTAGTGACATGGTTTTATCTTTCGTTATATTCCCTCAAGTGCTCAGGCTCTTTTCAATTTCTTCTATTATCTCTGTTTTTCTGATAACTTAATTTTCATGGTTCTGTCTTTAATTTTGCTGATTTTTTTGTCCCCTCCATCTTGCTGATGAACTCATCCATTGAGCTGTTTATTATATTATATTTTTCATTTCTGTGTGGTTAACTTTACGTGTCATCTTGACTGAGTCACGGGATGCCCAGATATTTGGTCAAACATGATGCTGGGGGTGTCTGTGAAGGTGTCTTGGATATGATGAACATTTACATTGGGCGACTGCATAAAGCAGATGGCCCTCCCTAATGTGTGGGCCTCATCCAATCAGCTGAAGTCCTGAATAGAACAAAAGGACTGACCTTGCCACCATCAGAGGAAACTCATCCTGCCCCACTGCCTTGAGCAGGAATGTCGGTCTTTTCTTCTTCTCCTCCTCCTTTTTTTTTTTTTTTGGAGGGGGTGGGAGGTAATGAGAGAGTATTTATTTATTTATTTATTTATTTATTTATTTATTTATTTAATAGAGGGGATTGAACTGGGGATTGAACCCAGGACCTCGTGCATACTGAGCACACACTCTACCACTGAGCTACACCTTCCCCCCAGGATGCAGCTCTTCTTGGGTCTCAGGCCTAACAATTCTCAGACTGGACCCGTCTCCTGAGTCTTCAGCTTGCTGACTGCAGCTCTTGGGATCTCTTAGCTTCCATTACCCTTGTGTGAGGCAATGCCGTATAATTAATCTCACATATATACATGAGATATATGAATGTGTGTGTGTGTTTGTATGTGTGTGTGTGTGTGTGTGTGTGTGTGTATATATATATATATATATATATATATATATATATATACACCCTGTTTCTATTTCACTGGAGAACCCTGAATAATACAGATTTTGGTTGAGAAGTGGATGCTGCTGTAATAAATACCTAAAAGTGTGGATGTGGCTTTAGAACTGGATAATGGTTAGAGGCTTTTGTGGTTCATGTTAGAAAAAGCCAAGATTGCCATGAAGCAACTATTGTCTGAAACATGGATGTTAAAGGTGATACTGATAAGGGCTTAGAAAGAAGAAAGGGGGCCAGAGGGCAAACGTTCATCTCCTTAGAAAATACACAAATAATCATGAGCCGAATGCTGGCTGAAATATGGATGTTAAAGGTCTTCTGATGGGGTCTCAGACAGAAATGACGGACAGGCTGTTGGAAATTGGGGGAAAGATGCTCTTTGTTGTGATTTAGCCAAAGAACTTGGCTAAGGTGTGTTCCAGTGTTTGGTGGGAGGCAGACCTTGTGAGCAATGAAACTGGATGTTTAGTTGAGGCGATTTCTAAGCAAAGTGGTGGAGGAGGGGCTTGGTTCCTCTTGACTGCTTATAGTAAAACGTGAGCGACATGAGATGAATTAAAGAAGAAATTGTTAAGAAAAAACAAAAAAACAGATGGGAAAGATTTGGAAAATTCTCATATTGCAAAAAATAAAAGGGGGAGGAGAGTTTGTTCAGGAAAGAACATCAAGTTGAAAAGGTTACCCGTGGTGTTATCGGCTATCTCAACAGAAGCCAGGAAGAATGATTCCAAAGGCAATGCAGAGATGATGGGGCTGCCAGTCGCCAAGCAGGTGCAGAGTCCACGGGCTCAGGGAGCCAGCCTCCCTCCACTGCCACCTGGCAGAGCCATGAGTGCCGCAGCCTGCAGGGCAGTGAGCGGGATGCTGCTGCCCCCCTGGGGCTGAAGGGCAGTGCATTGAACCAAAGAGGATTCTTCTTGAGCTTTAAGATCTAACGGGGTTTGAGGAGGAGGGCATAGCTCAGTGGTAGAGTGCATGCTTAGCACGCATGAGGTCTTGGGTTCAACCCCCAGTACCTTCATTAAATAAACAAATTAATTAATTAATTGACTGATTAACTTAATTTCTTCTCCCCTCAAAAGAAAGATCTCACGGGTTTGCTTTGCTGGGTTTTTGTCTTGCCTGGGGTTTGTCACCCTTTTCCCCCTTTTGGAACAGGAGTGTCTGTCCTACGCCCAGCCCACCCTTGTATTTTGGGAGCAAATAGCTTGTCCCACAGGCTTACAGCTAGAGAGGAATTTTGCCTCAGGATGAACTGAGCGGCACCCGTATCTGATGTGGGTGACATTTAGGTGAGACATTGCACCTTCGACATTAGAGCGGAGTCTCCATTCATCCTCCTCTGATGCAACGCCAGCAAGGAGCAGGAGGGAGCTGTGCTGCTGGACTCAGCTGGACCTCCAGCCTCCCCACGGGGCATCT